GAGTGTTTGTCAAGTGCAGACATGAGAACTTCGGCATTCTTGAAGACTCCAGGTGGAGGTGGTGGTAAAGATGTATTCAGGGGGGGAGTAAGTGGTGGAGTGCTAGGAGGGTGATCATGAAGAGATATTTGAATTTGAAGTCCCCAGTGTTCCTCTTCAGAGTCTAGTGTGCGTGTGGCTTTGGCATAGTAGGGACATGTGCCAGGGTGTTGTTTGTTTTGATATCGTCCTTCATAGCATTTGTACTTGATGAAGTTGGGGCGGGAATTGTATATTGATATTCGGTAGCCATGGGGAAGGGTTTGTTGGTCAATGTGGGATGTAATTGCATAACGATCCTTGAAGAATAACAAGTTATGAGATAAGTTGGGTATATCGCTTGTGGTCTGAGCTTCGGTGGGAGTATTGGTAGTAGGTTGGTCTTTGTGGGGTTCATGAGAGGTTATGTTGTTGTTCATGCTGGATGTTGTTATTTGGGGTTGATCGAGTTGTGAAGGGTATTTGACTAGAGTGTGAAGGGGGTGTTGTCGGGATATGAAATCTTGACTGGTGAGCTTATGTTGAGGTAGATACTAAAAGTTGTTGGGGTGGAGTTTTGTAAGTTAAGTTTGTGTACATGTGTGGCATATACATGTTAGATTTACATGTTGTGTGAGCATGAGGATGAGTGTGAAGTGGGAATTTGTGAACTTGTGATGCTCAGTGTGAAGTTGTGAGATTGTGAGATTGGTGGTTTCGAGTTGTGCACGTGTGAAGTTGTGAGATTGTGAGATTGGTGGTTTCGCGTTGTGAACTTGTGAAGTTGTGATGGTCATTGGTGAATGTGAGGTTGTGATGTGTAATTGGGAAAATGTGATGTGTAATTGTGAAGTTTGTATGTGAAGCTGTGAAGTTGTGAGGCTTGATTTGAATGTTTGCCGCTGAAAGCTGAAGCAAACCACTAAAAATGGTGTATGTGTATATGATTGGGGAATTGGTATGAATGACTATATGCTGGTGCTCTAGAAATTGCTTCATTTACGTAAAGAAACATGGCTTCAAAGCAAAAAAAAACCTTTGAGGATAGTGGGAGGTTACTCCAGATGCATCATATTCATCTGAGTTACATCTGCACCAAGTTATTGGAGAGACTCGGATGATACGGGGCGTCGGATCTTCGGATCGGGGCCGAACTTTTAGTGTACACAAGGTGCAATTTGGTCGATTAAATCGAAGTCAAGATTGAGATTTTAGAAAAGAGTTCCAATTTGATTGATACTCGATTGTTGAAGATAAGCTTGACGGTTGAAAAATTGGATTATGATACATAGTAAAATTAATCGTTCTTGGATTCGAATTCAAATTTGAATGTGGTGATAAAGTCAATTGAAGATAAATATGAAAATAAAGAAGATAAAGTTTGTGGTCGGATCTTCATTGAATCATAACACTAAAGGCACAACCCAGTTTCTCGGCAAAACTGGATTAAACCCCTAAGCCTTAACAACATGTATACCTACGACTCCAATCTCTGCAGCCTCACTTGCTCTCTACAACTTCTGATCTGCTTCAAAACCCACTACTGTCTTACCTACCTCAACTTCCGATTTTGAGGAGCAAAGACTGTCAGCATAGCAACACCACATAAGGTCAGGAAGCCTTGTCAAGCTAGAAAGCAAACCCTTACTTCATTACGTCAGGAAGATTTTAATGAATCAGTCACAGCCGTTCCCCCTTCATTTTTAGGAGAGAACAAAAGGATCAAAAGTGAGTTTTGTTTTGCGACCCTGCATTTTGAATGTGTTTCCCTGCTCAGCATGCAGAATATTGAAGTGCATTCTGAACTTAGATCCTGTGATGATCATCTGACTAGGAAATACCTGAACTTATCCACCTAAATCGATCTATCACCTCACCAGGTCCAAAATCTTGGATTTCAATGTTCCTGGAGCAATTGAAGGTATTCAGTCCTTATCAAATTGCTGTGAATAAACTCAAACTTACAGAAATTGTGACAATGTCTTTCACTAAAGGTTACATTATCTTGCCATCATGGAACAAGCAATCAGACATGATCAACAAAACTCCAACCACATGAATGAAAATATCACAAATCCTGATCAATTTCAAATCTAGGCCAACGTCCCACAAATTGTGAGATGCATGAAGCAGATACCTCTGTGGATGAGGCATCCTTTGCCGCTATGTTTCCACTTGTCCCACAATGTATAATTCTCAACCTATGTCGATCTTCCGATACCCAAATGGACCTCATCATCACTAAAACAAGGAGCAAAGGATGATGCTGTCTGGATTGGATCATTACCTATCTAACAATCATTAACTTTCTCTCGATCATATGCGCCGACGTATGATGATTTTAGGACGCCCATTTCAAAATTCAATCAAGTCGGCATTCATTATGACAGCATGGTTCAATACAACCCACGAGTACCATTACTTTTGTCCCCTTCTATATCCCAAGCACCCAATATGACCCAATTGAACGAGCAAGCATATTTACAGCAGTATTATTGGAATCAAGTCCCAAATCATTTTACGTGTGATCCGGTCATTACGTGGAACCCGATCAAACCTGTGACTCTACAAGATCTAAGCGCTTGAAGTCCTCACATGAGGAACCTTCAACTCATCAAACATGTCCATCAGCCGATATGTCCTTTCCATCAAGCACCGATGAGAGTAGTCTCAACAGATGTCACAACCTCAATGTCATCTTGTGAATTACTTGAGCCTCCCAGTTGTTCATCTTCTTCACCGCCTCACGCCAAACATTCTTCAACCAGTACAGAAGTCGTACCTCTTTCTCTGGGTCCTTCAACTAGCTTTTACTTCAACCTCAATCAAACCTACAAACCTACTCAGGAAACATTACCAATCATCGATACCCACAAAAACGATCTCGGTCAGGGACAAATGAAAAATCTTTCAGTGCACATCAACAATCCTAATTCGTCAACAAATCCCTAGCAGCTACGCTACATATCCTTCGCCGACCACCAAACCTATAGACGATCTCATTTTAATGATACGATGTACACTTCATCCACAAGTGAATAAGATATTGATTGAAGCAATTTGAGACAGCAAAAATCTGGCTCCTCAAATTCAAGATATCAGAAGAAGAATGAGGGGAAATACAACCGGTTATGTCAATTTTTTCAACTATATCCACTCTGATCATCTACTTCGCAATCAAACTCAAATTTGCTACTGCAAACTTCAAAGCGGACACTCAATAGCTTATAAGGTCTTGAAACCTAGAATCAAGAGACCAGACACAAAGGATACCCCATTAATCTTGATTCATGGATTGGGTGCGGTCGGACTAATTGATTGGTCTCCAATTGCGGAATTGCTATCTTACGATCGTACCGGTGAGCGTGTCCAATCTAAATTGTCAGCTTCATTCAATCTTTTCTGAAGATTTTCTGTAAATTTTTGCAGTGGTAGTATTTGATAACCGGGATATTGGTTGGAGTCGGCTTTCTAAAGGTCGAGAGAATGACCGTTGACTATGGATGATATGGGGAATGATACGATAGAGCTTATCAATGTAAGAAGTTCATATGCCTATACCAATACCCTTGAAGCATAGTAGCTTCCGGTCATTTATTTTACTGCAGTTTTCTCTTTTGACCATTTGCACTACAAGCACCTTCAATTCAAATCGGTAGAACAACGCCCACTGAACCTTCAGCTCCCAAGACCTGTACTGCTGACCCATCTTGACAAAACAACCAAGCCTGATCCATCACACATTTTGACACCAACCAAACAGTCAAGAACCAGAATCTTCAGTTCAACTTTCTTTCTTTCTTCAAGACACAGTTAGCAATTTAGGTGAATTTCAATCAGTTCTTTATAGAAATGAGAAATGAAACAAATATCATATTTTGGAGGACAATTTTTCAAAGTTAAGTACATACTTACGGAATGCGAGGTGTGTCAAAGTGACAATTCGATTTTCAAAAATTGAAATTTCAGAATCCCCGGGTCAGAAATTGATAAAACTGGAATAAACATCAGATTTAACCCCAATACTGGTCTGAAACCGCCTGTATTGGGGATAAAACCTATCTTTCTGCCAATTTTCACAATTTCCAGACCACAACTCAAATATTGACCACTGACTTGGCACTTTGGCACAAATAATACATGAAAATTTCAAGAAATCGATTTTCATCATGTCAAACTTCACATATGTATAAAACAACAAAACCCAATACCTAACCGTACCACAAGTTCACCTTTTGGGTAAATGCACACCCATCAAAACCTAATGTGATCATTAATAAGATCCCTACCGAGTCAACCATAGAGAAAATTTACAACCAATCACTATCAGCTTTCACCTATTCCACAAAGTCTATATCCCTGGGACCGGGATAGACGAAAGCCCCGGTCCCAGGGCTTGTCTTTCTCTCCAGTCAATCGACTGGAGAGAGCCACCTAAGCCTAGGTGGTCCTAGTCTTTGATATAGAGCACGATCGACTGAGAGAGGAAGTCCTGGGACACCTAACCTTAGGCTCCAGCCCTGGAGAGCCATCCCTCCTGTCGATCGACTGGAGGGATGGGCCACCTAAGCCTAAGTGGCCCTAGGCTGTGTTCTCCAGTCGATCGACTGGAGAACCAGCCCTGGGACGGGGATAGACTAAAGCCCCGGTCCCAGGGATATAGACTTTGTGGAACAGGTGAAAGCTGATAGTGATTGGTTGTAAATTTTCTCTATGGTTGACTCGGTAGGGATCTTAGTAATGATCACATTAGGTTTTGATGGGTGTGCATTTACCCAAAAGGTGAACTTGTGGTACGGTTAGGTATTGGGTTTTGTTGTTTTATACATATGTGAAGTTTGACATGATGAAAATCGATTTCTTGAAATTTTCATGTATTATTTGTGCCAAAGTGCCAAGTCAGTGGTTGATATTTCAGTTGTGGTCTGGAAATTGTGAAAACTGGCAGAAAGATAGGTTTTATCCCCAATACAGGCGGTTTCAGACCAGTATTGGGATTAAATCTGATGTTTATTCCAGTTTTGTCAATTTCTGACCCGGGGATTCTGAAATTTCAATTTTGAAATTTCAAGTTGTCACTTTGGCACATGTCGCATTCCGTACATACTTATAAATAGAAAGAGTTCAAGATGTGAACAAAGAAGATATTGAAAGTTTGAAATACAATTTTTAGCCATTCACAACACTATGATTATGTCAAGACCAGGGAAAGACCAACAAACAGATAAATGAAAAGACAGAAAGAAAACAATTGAGAGAGGATAGAAGTGTACAACTGCAAGAAAAGAACTACAATTTGCAAACACAAAAATTTTAATGAAGAAGGGTTTTGAGATTTGTAATGGAATCAATGTATCTCTCAAAATAAAATCCCTTCTTTGAGACCAACATAATCTGAACCATCATAAAATTTGACTTGTACTTCATAACTTGCTCAGAGAACCTGAAAGAATTAAGTTGATGAGCTTGAACTTGAGTTTGAGTTTGTTAATTAATCTATTTGGATCTGGATGTTGTGATCTGCTTGGTGATGGTTTGTTAACTGAAGTTTTTGGACTATTTGATTGTGTATATAATTAAATCAATTGACTCATCTTTGATGAGTATGAGTTGGAGGCTTGCCTTTTTGCTTGACTATCTTTAGCTGTTGGTTTCTTTGAGGACGGGCAGATTATTATGGACCTGGTGTCTTTCTTACATTGAACTCCATTTAAATGTAGATTTACATTATTGCTGTGTGATTGGGTTGTTGAATGTTTCTGATGGTCAAACAAATAACAGAATTGGTTTCAAAGTTTGTTTTCAAAAGCTAAAATTGGAAAAAGAACTTACCTGAGTGCAAGACTTAGGTACAGCATCTTTGACAACTCAATTGTTTCCTTTCACTGTTCAATTAAAGATTAGTCTTTTCATCAAAAATAAATCAGCTGAAGATGTATCTGGATCCACAAAAAGATTTACATGATTCTTTCAATGAGTACTAACAGAAGTTCCTCTTCCTAATGGCACAAGAGATTTAAGTTTGAGGTTTTTCATGTGTCTTTTCTAATTCTCTTTGAAATCTCAAGAGTTTTATTGACATTAATTTTTTAGCATTATTTAATTCTTGATTGATTTGTTGGTATCTTTGACTTGAGATATATAATCCTTCTTGGTATAGAGATATCACATCTGTTTCCGATTTTGAAAGGAGACTTTTGATGTGTTTTCTTTTGATTGTTCAAGTAGCTTTATGCAATTGTGGGTTTTGAAATTGGATCCATTGATTCCTGTATGATTTCATGATATGGTGGGATTAATACTTTTGGTATTTTGTTATAAGTAGATTTGTTTTCTTCAGAGCACATCCTTTGAAGGAAACAATCATACAAAGTAAATTCATTGGGATCCAAGAGATGAATCATTCAGTAAGTCAGTATCCTAGTCTGCAACTTTGAGGTGTACAAGTTTTCAGATAGCTTAGGTTCATTGAGGTTTCACCTGACTCCTGAGTGGAAGAGACAAAGATTTTGAAAGCACTTTCTTGGGTAAGCTGCACTAAACCCCTCTTTTGAGAGCAGAAGTGGCTGCATCAGAGAAGGTGGTTAGTTGAGTTCATTTCTTAATCTTTCTTCCATCAAACTCTGACCAATCTACCCTTCTTGATGTCAATAACATATCAAGATGTGCTCCGGAACCAAATATCCGACGGATACTCAACGGAGCAGCCGTCAGATTTGGATGTTGGAAAGGCCTTCAATATTATCCGGGTCCGGATAATTCGTTGGTTCGGATGTCAGATGGCCCAAACATTCCAGATACCGCAGTTCAAGTGTGTTGTCACAGCCCCGGACCCGGTTTTTGGGCCGGATATACAACAGAGCATCATGGACACAGCTTCAGTTGCTTATTCAGAGTGGCTTTATTGTTTCAGGATAATACAGAAATGCAATAACCACCCATCAGTCTCAATGTGCAAGTAGGCACAGAAAAGATGCAACACCCTTGCGTCAGGTTGTGGGTGCGGCACAAGAAACATGCCAATAAATCAGGGTTGGTGCGCCTTTTCAAAAACCACACCAAATCTTAGGAGTTCTATGTCCTGTGAACTGGCACCAATATTGAAGCTTGGAGACTTGTTGTGAGCTTTGATGAGAGCTCCTTTTAGCTTTTCTCTCCTTTAACAGGCAACTTTGCTGTGGTAGATAATTACGGAATGCGAGATGTGTCAAGGTGACAATGCAAAAATCAAAAAACAAAAATCACAATTCCCGGGTGCGAAAATCAAAAATCAAAGACAAAACTACAGAAAATACTCAAATACAGGGCAAAAACCCCTGTACTGGAGTAAAAGTCATGGCAGAAACCCCTTTCAGACCAGGTTACGGCCCAAATTTCAGTAGATTTACAACTTGAAACTCAACATTTGTCACCCCATTGTCGCATTGACACAAAAAGTACCAGGAAAGCCACAAAAGAGGAAATCAAAATTCAAAAAACAAAAAAACAAAAGTTGAAAATCAAGAAAAAAATGTCGATAATCAAAAAACGACAATTAACAAACCATAAACAAGGACCCCAAAGATGAAAACTTCACATTAGATGATGGAAAGTGTACAAACCACCTCTCGACCTCTCTACCTCTCAACCAATCACACAACCCACACACCATCACCAATCATCTTAGTCATTCTTCCAACTTTTGTCATAGTCACCACCCATCCACTTGTTCAACAAAACCTACACTACACTGAACTTCTTTGATCGTCTCCACTCTTCTTCATCCTTATTTGATTGTCTTCACTCTTCTTCATCCTTCTTTGACCGTCTTCACCCTTCTTCAATCTTTTTGGATTGGCTTCAATCCTCTGTAATCTTCTTTTACCAGCGTCAATCTTCCTTAGTATTCTTCAATCGGCTTCAATCTTATGTAATCTTCTTTGATCGTCTTCACTCTTCTTCATCCTTCTTTGATCGGCTTCAATCTTCTTGAGTATTCTTCGATCGGCTTCAATCTTCTTGAGTATTCTTCAATCGGCTTCAATCTTCTTGAGTATTCTTCGATCAGCTTCAATCTTCTTCTTTAGTATTCTTCAATTGGCTTCAATTGGCTTCAATCTTCTTCAATCTTCTTTGATTGCCTTCCATCTTATTTGATCAGCTTCAATCTTCTATGTTTTTTTTTCTCAGAGCTTTGTCTTTCAACATCATGAACCGTCCCAATTGTCCCTTGTGTCAAAATACTCTCCGTCAAGGCAGACAGCAAATATGTGAACCGTGCCTTGAAAACATCAATGCGGACCAAAACAAAATAGTTCCTCAATCTTCTCAACCCCGTCAGGCCCAACCCAATCTTCCCAACCCCGCCCTGCCAACCTCAAGGTCATCAATGCCAAAGCAGTGCTACAACAGAATGTGCTTATATCCTGGAAGAAGTACTTGACATTACACAATACCGCAAGTATACCAGCAATCACAACTTTGAACTCTGTGATTCTGATATTCCTTTGGTCAATGA